AGTTTTCCGAAATTTATGATTGGAGATGTTAGGTTCTATTCCCTTTAGCAATATTTATTTATTATATCCATTTTGAAATCACTAGCAAATCCTACAATCTGATTGGTTCTCATCAGTGTGATTTAATCACGAATCGCACTATTTTGAATTTAAATCGCATCTTTTTTCCAGCCAATCAGATTGAATAAAATAACCAATCAGATTTCATGACTGGATTAAATCAACCAATCAGATTGCAAGAGAGAAAAGACTCAAAATGTTAAATTTGAAAAAAATTCSTGGCAAAAACTCTCACTTTTCTCAATAAATATGGATGATTTTAATTACTTATAGTATCTTGATGATGACAATGACCTTCTTGAGGCTGAAAAAATTCTGGCAGGGGAATTTCCATCTTTTGGTGTCACTTTTGACGATAATTATGCCGATTTTCCTTCAAATAATGTTGAACTAGTTCCACACGCTCCCGAGTCCAGCGAAAGCAAAACAAATGAAACAACAACAACAACAACGGCAAATGAAGCCCYAAACTACGATATTTCAAGATTTCCACTAATTTCAAATAATGACATAGAAGAACTGAAGTCGGTGGCTGAAAACAAGAACACTAAACGCTCAACAAAACAGTGGATGAACGTGTTTGAAAGCTGGTGTACATCCCGCCATCTTGACAACATCGTCATCGAAAAAATGGCACCAGAAGAACTAGACAAGGTCCTCGTTAAGTTTTATGCCGAGGTGAAGAAAAGGGACGGAGAAGACTASGAGCCAGAATCTCTCCGTGTAATGTAAAGTTCAATTGAACGCCATTTAAAGGATAAAGGTTATCCTCTGAGCATCGTGCGAGCGAGGGAGTTTCAAAGYTCACAAGGAATCCTCAACGCGAAGSCAATTTCTCTGCGTGAACAAGGGAAGGGAAAAAGGCCTAACAAATCTCAGCCTTTGGCACCAGAAGAAGAGTCAGCTCTATGGAAAAAAGGTCAGTTGGGTGACTTCAATGCCAAAGTYCTGACAAACGTCAACTTTAAGAATTTGACAGAGCAACTTGGTTTACGAGGCCGCCAGGAGCACTACGACTYTTACGTCGAGGACATGATTATAAGACAACAAGAAGATGGCAGTGAAGTCGTAGAATTTCGTGAAGGTCCCACTAAAACACGAAGTGGTGGTCTAAGAATTAGACGAAGAACCACACCGCAGGTTATGTACAGCACTGACGGCGGAGAAAAAGATCCTGTACGACTCTTCAAGCTGTGGTTGTCTAGGCGACCCGAAGGGATGAAGGACAAAGGACCACTCTATCTTAGCATAACAAATCGTCCTAAATCAGCAGATGTGTGGTACAATAAAATCCGAATGGGACAAAACACCATCGGCACTATCATGAAGTCCATGGCCTCCTGCATGACGACAAATAAAAGGTTGACAAACCACAGTATGAGGAAGACTCTGGTGTCGAAATTGAAGAAATCTGGTCAACCGCGTAATGTTATCTGCGAAATAACAGGCCATGCTCGCGAATCTTCGCTGGATGACTACGATGAAATAGACGAGAATCAAAGGAAAGACCTGTCTCACATCATCAGTGGATATAAAGAAGTCCCCAACCAAAAGAGTGATGGAGGAATCTCCAATCAAGAGGTCAATCAAGAGGTGAATTCATCGAATTCAGCGATTGCGCAACGAACACCACTGGCGTCTATCAACAACTCTTCAAGTTCTCTGTGTCACGTCCAACAAAGCCAAATGCATCAGGGCCTCAATCCTGGTTCACAGCCTGGTTTCCCATCATTTCATCCAACTTTTGGTCCTCAATATCACATGGCAGCGTTTAGCTCTTATGCCAGTGGCAGCTCTTCCATTCCAACGCAAAATTACACGGGTTGCACCTTCAATTTCTTTACAAAAGATGCCCAGTCTAGTCCTCAACCACAGAAGAAAYGAAGGGCTTACATTATTGAGTCGGACGATGAGGATTAAACTATGTAGTTGACTGATTCTCAAAGACTTTTACGAGGATTTAGATTTGTAGTTGATCAATTTTCCAAGTAGTTTTACTCACAGAACTCCCGTGAATACTGATAAACTTTTGTCACATGACATCTATTGTTGAATTTTTGCATACAAAATGAGATGTAATATTTATCATATGATCCGTACGGCCCTGCTCGCGCGCTCTAATAAAATCATTGGAAAAAGTCACGTGATGAGGGCCGGACGGGTTGACGTAAGCGGGCCGGAAAAACCCGTCCGGCCCTGCTCGAATGCGCGCGCTTTTTTTTTTCTTAATTATTTTTATTTTCGTGAGGGTCATATGATAAAATGCTTATTGACTGAGTTAGGTCAGGCCGTACGGGAAAATATTTGGCTCTCGGTCATTTGTACGGACCTCGCTGCGCTCAGTCCGTACGACATGACCTCGAGCCAAATATTTTCCCGTACGGCCCTCCCACTCAGTCAATAAGTACATATTATCATTTCCTGTTCCGCTGTTTACAATCCGGTTCTACTCAATAAATCTTTATTCAGGCATTATAATGACGTGATTTCAAAATGGATATAATAAAGTGGCAATTGAACTGAGTGTCGTGCAATTTTGGTCTGAAATTAAACTTGCAATTACAAATCGCGTACTCGCGCGTTTGATTTCAGACCAAATTGCACTCCACTCAGTTCAATTACCATTATTAATTATCGGTATACTTAACATCTATGAGTCTTTTTCTTGTACTTTTATAATATTTATTTGACAGCTTCGCCCTTCTGTATTAATTTTATGGGGTCTTCGATCCTCTATAATAATTATTCATTTGAAGGCTTCGCCTTTCTGTACTAATTTTATGGGGACTTCGATCCACTATAAGCGCCATTGAACTTTAGGATTTTGGCGCTATATAAATGATTTATTCTATTTTATTATTCTATTATTCTATAATAATTATTTATTTGAAGGCTTCGCCCTTCTGTGCTAATTTTATGGGACTTTGATCACCTATAATAATAATTTCTTTGGAGGCTTCGTCCTTCTGTTCACTTATTGATTTACAGTTTTTCGTTCTTTTCACCTTGTTCTTTAGTTGGCTGAGTCCAGGTTTGATTTTCATTTAAGTTCGAATATTTTTTCCTGGCTTTTCTTTTCTATTGCAGATGCCCAGAAAACGAAAGTCCGGGGGGGGGGGGGGGGGGTCCACAACACAACACAACACAACACCAAGGAGACCCAAGAGGCGCAATAAGTGTTTTAAGTGAAATGCCCAGCATAAGGCGGTTAATTGTAATTTTCGTCCCTGTAGGAATGCCAGAAATGCAAACCCTAGCTGCCTAGTCATTCGCAAACACAAATTCCAACACCAATAAATCTTGATCGTTCACAGAAGGGCGAAGCCTTCGAATAAATAATTATTATAGTGGATCGCAGTCCCCATAAAATTAGTACACAAAGGCGAAGCCTTCAAATAAATAATCATTATAGAGGATCGAAGTCTCCATAAAATTAATACAGAAGGGCGAAGCCTTCAAAGAAATATAATAAAAATACAAGAAAAAGACTCGCAGATGTTAAGTATATCGATAATTAATAAATAGCTGTTGTGCTGTAAAAGATTCCACGCGACTGACCCACGCTTACAAAGCCACGTGACCTATACAGCTCCCTCATAGGTGGTATATAACAAATGACCTCATTAAAAATTAAATAATTTAATTCGTTCAAGAAAATAGATAAAATTTTATTTGTAAACAAATAATTCATTTTTTGTAAAAAAGATGATTAAGATAAAAAGTTGAAATATTACGGGTTTTTTTAAAAATCACCATTTGGTTCCCGAGTTATGATTTTTTAAATAAACATTTTTGATGGCATAGCAGGGTTCTGATGTTGTCATACCAACGTCTTACGTCATTTTTTATGTCTATTGTTATCTTTGGTTTATGGTCTTTGGCTTTCCGGGTTTACTTGCTGTCATATTATAGCCATACTATTTTTTTTAGTTCATAATGTGAAGGCACAAAACACTTTCCAGCCTCCTTAAGAGTTTTTTTCCATTTCATTGGTCTCAAAAGATCTCCAATGTTTAACGAGTATATAAGGCGAATCTCCCCATCCCCTGTGAGAACAGCTTCCAAGTGAGGCCTCGGAACCTGAACACAACATGGCGTACAGCCATGCTTTACCGGTTCCTTGTCCATAATACCAATATCCTACAGTTTTGGTAAAACCAAGTTGTCGACATGCAACCCTAGCATCATTCATGTCCCAGCTATCATGACACACTGTTCCCCTTGTCGGATTTTGATTGCTCGTTCACAGCGATGAATGAGGCAATGTGCGATTGATCCATTGATACCATTCCCTGCTAGCAGAGCCTATTTTCCTTTTGTTTTGGTTGAGAGAGAAAAATAGACTCTGCCGATGTAGGACGTTATTTCCGTCGCGCATGCGTGGCGTAACAGAGCAACGCTGTCATGATTTTGACAGCCGCTCTCGTCAAACGATGTTTGGCGCCACGGTGTGTTACATTTCCTCATGCGCACTACATGTAATCGGTTAAAAASKKGTTTTAAAACTGGTTTTGTTCGTCCACAATCGTGGACGGCGGTGTATCAAAGGAAACGCTCTACAYCGGCAGAGTCTCCTTCCTCCYCGCCTGAAAGAAGGGAGAGAAAGAGAAGAGAGACTCTGCTAGCAGGGAATTGATACCATTATTCATGATGCAATAATACACACAAAAACATCAAATATGTGACGATTGCAGTCAGAGTAAACATTTCCCCATCCATTATGAGTACAGCTTCCAAGCGAGGCCTCTGAGCCTGAACATCCCATGTTGTTGAGCCATACTTTACCCGTCCCTCGTCCATAGTACCAAGTTCCTACAGCTTTGGTATAACCAAGTTGACGGCATGTTACCTTGGCGTCATTCATATCCCAGCCGCTATAAGTACAAACTGTTCCTCACGAAATATCTATCCTTTTGATTTAAGATATATTTGGATTCATTGCGGTATTATCAACATCGTATGCCATATATATAGTGTTTGTGCTAGGGTGAAAACTTCCTCTGGTCCAAGGTACCAATATCCTATAGATTTGATAAAAAGGAATTGGCGACATAAAACTTCGGCATCCTTTATTTCAGTCATAATAAAAGCGACACACTTTATTACACATTGTCAACAGTGTAGATTTTGGAAAACCCTATGCTTATTGATTTATTAACTTGCCCACTTGACCTCACAACTGGTTGAAGCATTCTCAACAGGACAAAAAAATATAAATATAATGAAAACACGTAGAAATCCTAACAAAGTGAAAAAGCAAATACATCTCAAAGTCTACCCGAGACACCAACATCCCATGCATGACCGTTGCACACAGAGTCAACATTTCCCCATCCATCTCTGAGCCTATGCATTGCATGTTGTTTAGCCATACTTTACCCGTTCCTCGTCCATACCACCAAAATCCTACAGTTTTAGTAAAACCTAGTTGACGGCATGCGACCTTTGCATCAGGCATATCAAAGTAATAGGAACCATAAGAACACACTGTTCCCCATTGGCCATTTACCATAATACAAATAAACAATACCAACATTATGTTTGTGACAGCAGCTTTTTTCGTTAACTGTAGTTAAAGCATGTCTTACACCCGTCTTGCGACGTATATGCACCAGTTTTGTTAAAAAACCGTTCCTAATATTTAGATGGTTTGAGCACCAAGTGTAATCACAGTATATTCTCACTTTAACATACTAACTACGGCCCTTTCAATATATACAGTGTAAAATAATGCGCCGCATGCCACCGGCATCATATTGGTAAGTAGGGCAGTCAGAGTGCACGTTTCCCCATCCACTATGAGTACAGCTTCCAAGTGACGACTCTGAACCTGAACATACCTATTGTCCATTAATTATTGAAATGAAAGTTTCCTAATGCTGTATAAGATCTCTGATCAATACTGATTCATTTCAACTCCACCAAACATATATATGAAGATAARCTATTACGACTTGAAACACTTTATTAATGAATAGGAACAAAATAAAATTCCCTGTTAACCACATTGCTATAGTAATATTTCATTCTCTGATCCAACAGAGTGGATTGCTTTTAGACAACGGGTTTGATTAAGGTAAACTTCAAGGACAA